CTGCAGCCATGAGTTATGCCTCATGGCGATTCCTGAGGACAAGGTGCATGCCGCTGAGTACGCAGCGTCCAGTGAGGCCTGTAAAGAGGTCCTTGCCACTGCCTTCCCCTCCTCGATAATAGCCCCAAACTACTCTTTGGACTCTGCTGGTATCAATTCCTTAAACTTTAGCATCGAGTTCCAGGAGTTGAAGTTCTATCTACTCAGGATTGCCTGTTGATAGGCAATCCTGAGTTGTAAGCCCCCTGTGGAGTAAACTTTGCGTCCGAATAAATCCAGGTACTTGGCATCCTTGGACTTAGGTGCTGGGGCTTGCTGTCCCTGCCTCTCCTTCTCATTCACTGTAGCCACCACTAGGGAACAGGGCTGCGGGTGTGTGAAGAGGTATTTGTACCTCTTTGAGGGGACGAAATATTTCCTCACCACCCCCTTGGCAGTGGGAGGGATGGAGGCCGGGGTATGAGAAATGGTCTTTGCATTGGCCTGGATAGTTTTGATGAGTGGTAGAGCCACCCTAGATGGTCCCTCCGGTGCCAGAATATCCACCATAGGGTCCTTGGACTCTAGCACCTCCTCAGCCTGCAGGTTCATATTTCGTGCCACCCCAAGTAGGAGTTCCTGGTGGGCACGGCTATCTATGGGGGAGGCCCGGAGGTGGAGGTGCCCACCACAGCCTCGTCCAGGGAGGAAGACAAGGAGGATAGAGTAGGAACTGGGTCCTCCTGACCTTCCTGGTCCTCCGGTATCTCCTGTCCTGCCTCTAATCCAGGGTCAGCCACCCCAGGGTCAGGCTCAGGAACAGGGGTGGGTTCTGGAGGAGGTGGTAGGACTGGTAACTTCTCTGCATCCCTTGGGGTGGGACAACTGGCCGCTCCATCCGGGACCCTCGTCTTGGTCGCCACCGAACAGGAATCCTTGGACTTGGTGCCCTGGGCCTGGTGGTATACCCAAGGGGTCCAAAATGGCCATAGTGCTGGCCCCTGCCACTGTGTGGGCCATGGTGCCACACCCATGTCTGATCTTCTCCGTGTCAACTTGTATCGGGCCCGTTCCGAATATTTAGACCCCGTCTCCGAGCCCAAAGACAGCGACCTAGACCGTGAGAGCCCAGGCAGTGCCGAGCGCTGTTAGGCCAGGGAGCAGTGCCGCGAGGCTGGAGAGTGGTGCCACAAGCAGGGTCTGCGTGATGACATGGAATGGTGCCAAGACGGACTGTGCCAGGACCGGGACCTGCTGCGCAACGGTGATCGAGGCTGCCAAACGAAGTGCTGGCGGGACCTGGAGCAGTGCCGCAAGTCAGACCGGCGCCGCGAGTACGACTGGTGCCGTGAGTGTGATCGGCACCGGGACTCTGAGTAGTATCTTGCCTCTGGTGGTAGCGCCGAGAGGCGGAGCATTGCCGGTTTTCCACGGGACAGTGCCGAACGCTGTGGCATCGGAGGCTTGGCACGAAGGGCCAGGGACCGCGGTGCCGTCATATCTATGAGGTCTCTCACAGCCTCAAATGTGTCTGGGATGGAAGGCAGTTGCACCTCCTCCACTACCTGACAATGTGAGTCCAATCGCACCAGACTCAACGGCCCTCCTTGCAGGACCAAAGTCAATGGTGCCGGCTCCAAAGTTTTCGGCACTGGGGGCTCCTCCCTGGGACGCGCCCCATTAGCCGGTTCAGAGGGGGTGGGACCTGAAGTCGAGGTTTCCAGTACCTTGTTTCCAGTGCCACTTCTGCCCCAGGGAATGGGAACGGTGCCGAGTCGTCTCCGACTGTTTCTGCACTGGAGAGCGGCGGTGCCACGGGTCTCGTCCAGATTCCTTCCGCGGTGCCGTCTCCATTACCGCTGCCAGGGCACTACGCACCGATGCACTCGGTCCTGGGTCCTGCTGCGCCGATGCTGATTGCGGTCTAAGTGCCAGCTCCATAAGGAACTGCTTCAGTCTAAAGTCCCACTCCTTTTTCGTTCTCGGGCGAAACCCTTTGCAAATCCTGCACTTATCCGCCTGATGCATTTCCCCCAGACACTTTAAGCAAGCATCATGGGAGTAGCCCATTGGCATAGGCTTGTTGCAGGACTTGCAGGGTTTGAACCCCTAGGAGTTAGGCATGCCCTGAGTCCCCAGAAAGAGCACAGTCGGGTTGGAGGGGAACCCCCAACTCCCAACAGCGAACTATTAACACTACACTAACTAATAACACTGGTCTACAATTTTTGAGAAGTCGTCTGCTTCAGAGATAAAATGTGCTATTTATTATGTATTTTGATGTGCTGAATTCAAATATGACAATTAAAACAACTGATTGGCTACTGTTTCTAAGATATTTAAGTTTTTACATTTTATGTCTATGTATATTGTGTAGATAGTAGAGTTTTAATCATAAATTGTAAACCTAGGTCTTTTCATGTGTTTATGGTTGCTTTACATGATAATATTTCACCTGTCCTGTTTATGTAACACTTTAAAAATCAGCAAAAGGGTTATATAAATAAAATTTATTATGAAACAAAAGGCAAAAAACTATTATGTACATAGTTTAGTCCTATTCAGTGTCTACTCGGCGCTTCTTGGCTTGTCTCTTGTATTCATTAAATGGAGCATCTCTTGTCACTGTCCAGCAATAGTCTGCAAGCATCGATGGGCTCCATTTGCCCTGAGAGCGTTTCTCCATTGTTGCAATGTCCTGGTGAAATCGCTAGCCGTGCTCGTCGCTCACTGCTCCGCAGTTCGGTGGAAAAAAATCTAGATGAGAGTGCAAAAAATGTATCTTTAGTGACATGTTGCAACCAAGGCTTTTGTATGCCTTGAGGAGGTTTTCCACCAACAACCTGTAGTTGTCTGCCTTGTTGTTTCCGAGAAAATTTATCCACTAACTGGAAGGTTTTCCATGCCGTCTTTTCCTTGCCACGCAGTGCATGGTCAAATGCATCATCTCGAAGAAGTTCACGAATCTGAGGACCAACAAAGACACCTTCCTTTATCTTAGCTTCACTTAACCTTGGAAATTTTCCACGGAGGTACTTGAAAGCTGCTTGTGTTTTGTCAATGGCCTTGACAAAGTTCTTCATCAGACCCAGCTTGATGTGTAAGGGTGGTAACAAAATCTTCCTTGATTCAACAAGTGGTGGATGCTGAACACTTCAAAAACGGACTCCAACGAGAGACTGCTGAGCTGGAATTGATATGCAAACTAGACACAATCAACTCAGGATTGAATAAGGATTGGGAATGGCTGAGCCATTACAAACATTGAATCTATCTCCCCTTGTAAGTATTCTCACACTTCTTATCAAACTGTCTGTACTGAGCTATCTTGATTATCACTTCAAAAGTTTTTTTCTCTTACTTAATTGGCCTCTCAGAGTTGGTAAGACAACTCCCACCTGTTCATGCTCTCTGTATGTGTGTATATATATATCTCCTCAATATATGTTTCACTCTATATGCATCCGAAGAAGTGGGCTGTAACCCACGAAAGCTTATGCTCTAATAAATTTGTTAGTCTCTAAGGTGCCACAAGTACTCCTGTTCTTTTTCCTCCCAGGCTCCAATGATTGTCAGAGTGGCCAATCTTTCTTGATGTAGTGGGAATCTCTTGCACGACTATCCCATTCGCAGAGAAAACAGCAGTACTTTGTGGATCCAGTCTGCAGACCAAGCAAGAGAGCAACAACCTTCAAATCGACACAAAGCTGCCACTGATGTTGGTCATAGTTTATGCACCTCAAAAGTTGTTTCATGTTGTCATAGGTTTCCTTCATATGGACTGCATGACCAACTGGAATTGATGGCAAAACATTGCCATTATGCAGTAAAACAGCTT